TTAAGACTACTGGTCATGCAAGCCGATATATATATATATATATAAGTTGCTTTGGCAGCAGCCGCCACCTCAATACAAGGCTCTTCACTGTGTGACTGAAAGTAAGCTGTGTATACGCAAGAAGATATTTTTTTAAACAGTACGTTCTTTTAAAAAGACATCTCGTCAAACAGAGCTTCTGCCTGAAATGTTGAAGTGTTACTATTAGAGTTAAGCTTGGCCTCACTCCCTGACATTTTGTGGTTGGCTCTGCCTCGGGCAGGAGCCACCTTGTGGTTAGCCCCGCCCACTGTGGCAATTTTGGGGGTTTTTTTGTTTAAAACATTTATTAGCTGTCTGTCTTCCTTAGGGAACCCGAGGTGGCTTAAAGTGTAGATAAGACATGTTAAAATACATTAAAATATAAAAACCAAAACTTTAAATCGCAACTCTGGACTGCTAGTAAACTTAACCTTCAAAACGAGTCTAGCTTGCCACCTAGTGGTTTACAATGTTAAAGAGCTAGAACTTCTGGCTGCCAGACAATCTTAGGATCACCTGGCTATACTACACACAATTCCATATGAGGATGATGATGATGATGATGATGATGATGATGATGAACAACCATCCTGTTTCTCATCTCAGCATGTGTTCAAAGGGAAGTAGTGAGCTAAGTCCCCTTGTTCTCGACACTTGTGCATTAGCATCAGAGTAACCCCAAAAGCAGCGACAAATGACAGCTCCAGAGGGGTTTGTGGCCCAGCAGTTGGGGACTGTGCAACCCATCTGAGGATACCGACCCATTGGTTGACAGCCACTGGACTTACAGCAGAGAGACAGCTTCAATCTGTTTTGTCTGGTGTGCTAGCCGCTACAAGAAAATCCAAATTCCGTAATGCAGTTTTGCAAGCATTGCTATCCAGATAGTTTAACATAACGCAGTCTGCATATCTGCTCGCACAGCATTAGTTGAGTTGCATACGTGGAGGCTTATAGTGACAGATTTGGGTGTCCTTGTTGCAAGATGTGCATTTTGAAGCACATTGGGGTTGGGAAGTAATTAATCTCCGTCAGAATCTAAAGCTCCCTACGTTGCCTTACCAGAAGCGCAAATACTGAAGGTCAGGAGATGCCCAGTGCAGCATAAAAGAACATCAGAGTCAGCGTCCCCACCCATGATTCTGCATGTTAGGCTGTACAGTAGTTTAACCCTCTTCATGTTCAATATGGCTTACTTACAACAACGGCATGAAGAAGCCTCTATCTTGAGATTTATTGTGGAGGCTTGACCTGGCAAATCTGCATTCTGGTGATGGTGTTCAGTTTTCAGCTCTCCCATAGGGGGAGTCCTTCACCCCTTGGGGGAAGTGTGTACACGTGTGTGTGTGTGTGCGCGCACGCATGTACACATACAGAAGTTTGAGTGAAAGGGGGGAAAGGAAGAGTATACAGGATATTGGATCTGCTTTACCTTCCTACAGTGTTGGAGCTGCGGTGGCTCAAGTGGTTAAGACGCTGAACTGCAGGCTGTGGAAGGTCAGTCGTTCAGCAGTTCGAGACCTGGGTGCCGCAGGACGGAGTGAGCTCCCATCTCTAGCTCCAGCTCCTGCCAACCTAGCAGTTCGAAAGCAAGAAATTGCAAGTAGATAAATAGGTACCACTCCGGTGGGAAGGTAACAGCGTTCCGTGCGCCTTGGTGTTTAGTCATGCCGGCCACATGACCACGGAAACGTCTTCGGACAGCGCTGGCTCTTCGGCTTTGAAACGGAGATGAGCACCACAACCTTAGAGATGGATTCGACTGGCTTTCGAGCAAGGGAACCTTTACCTACAGTGTTACATGGTCGAAAGCACCATCAAGACTTATAGCAACCCTGTAGGTGTTTTCGAGACAAGAGACGAACAGAGGAGGTTTGCCATTGCCTGCCTTCGGCATAGCTACCCTGGACTTTCTTGGTGTTCTCCCATCCAAATACTGACCAGGGCCCATCCTGCGTAGCTTCTAAGATCGGATGCAGTCAAACCAGCGAGGTCAAGGCACTGCCCTGCACGCTTGTCTAGGAGCAGGGCTATTTTGGGGGCAGGAACGCACGGGAACAGAGTTCCGGCTGGCTCCCAAGTTGGCCACGCCCAGCATGAACTCATTAGCATAACAGGCCACACCCAACAGCAGAAACTCATTAGGATTGGCTACATTAGGGGTGTGTGGCCTAACATGCAAAGGAGTTCCTGCCACAAAAAAAGGCCCTGGGTTTTGACAACAAACAAGGTAAACAGGATAACAAGCAAAAGGTGGGTGTGGCTGGATGAGCACACTTCTGGTAACATGGGGGTGCGGCCTAATGCGCTAATGAGCTGTGCTGTCAGGGGTGTGGCCTAATATGCTAATGAGTTTCTGCTGTTGGGTGTGGCCTATTATGCTAATGAGTTCCTGCTGGGCTTTTTCTACAAAAACAGCCTTGTCTAGGAGTATGTTGATGGGGAAAGCAGTGATATCATAAAGGCTAGGTACTTGGACGTTTCATCCTTGCTAGCTGTGTAACACAATGGCTGGTGCTTTTCTGTTTCCTTGTAAAGAGGGTACCTAAATTTCGAAAGGGTTTAGTGGCAAAAAAAGCCCATGTAGGAATCCAATGATTACAATGGACACAGACATGTCTTTTCTCACAGAGTAAAAAAACCACCCTTGAAACCAGAACACTTGATTGCAAATGTTAGCATGAGCTACGCACTGCACGTGCCTCCTGTCCTCCCACATCGTCACCGTGTCCTTTTCATACCTTTCTGTGTGATTATTCCAAAACTGTGAGATGGATAGATAGTGAAGGGCCCAGGCAGGATTGGATTAGAATGAATTGGGTGTTTCGCGCTTGGGAATGGAGCGGTCTGATTGTGAAGCGCCCTCTCCAAAACATAAAAGTGTATTTTCTTCGCAGCCCTTGTGAGTCCATAATGCACACACGAGATTGCCTGTCTTCCGTTGTATGTAAACTCCCAGCAGTGTCTGTGTTGCATTGTCCAGGATGGGGGTGTTTTTACCGTAGATACCGCTCAGATGTCTGTGTCCTCAGTGGAACAAGTGGAGCAGCCGTGTGGAACAGGTAGATCATTAATGACTGAGAAAGCAAATGCTGAGATTCATAGGTCTCGCTCTGTTAATTGCCCAAACTTGCAAGCATGATGAATTGGTGCTAAATTAAAGTTTAATAGAAATAGAATTGCAGCGGGGCTCTGGCATTTTGCTCACTGGAGCACCTTTTCCTCCTGTTCGTGGGGCCCTTGCAGAACGATTCCCTTCTTAATCACTGTTGTACTTCATTCCTTGTTTTTCCTCTGGAAAGATTTGCAGTTATCATCTGTGGTGTTTGCAGCATCTGTGACTAAGCATTAGGCTTAATTTTTGGTTATTTAGGAGTCCGCTTCAGAGGGCTGCTTCAGCATATGTTCAGATACAGCATTTATGAGCTGCATGGGGAAAAAAGGCACATAAAATGATTAACATAGTAATTGTTTTATGAAGCTCTAACTATTTCTCCTTTTTATGTTCCGCAGCCTTTTCCCCTTTTGGCAATAGCCAAATTGCAGCAGTGTGCAAACTATTTTAGCAAGGTGTTGACATAATTCCACTTTTCTTTCTCTCTCTTTGGTGTAGTGGTTAAGTGTGCGGACTCTAATCTGGGAGAACCGGGTTTGATTCCCCACTCCTCCACTTGCACCTGGCTGGATGACCTTGGGTCAGTCACAAGCTCTGGCACAGCTGTACCTGAAAGAGTTCTCTCAGGCACACCTACCTCACAGGGTGTCTGTTGTGGGGAGGGGAAGGGAAAGGAGTTTGTAAGCCGCTCTGAGACTCCGAGTGAAGGGCGGGGTATAAATCCATTCTTCTTCTTCTTCTTCTTCTTCTTCTTCTTCTTCTTCTTCTTCTTCTTCTTCTTCTTCTTCTTCTTCTCCTCCTTCTCCTCCTCCTCCTCCTCTCGTTGGTGCCTTAATGTTTATTTCCACCCTTGTTGAAGAAGTGATTGGTCTTGCTAGGCTAAGCACCAGCTTAAAAACATCGTTTTCTAAACCACAGCATAAGTTACTGCCTGCAGCATTCGACGCAATAGGGTGGACTGGTTGTCAGGTTAGAGATTAAAATAAAATCCGGTTCTTTTTCTCGTCTCAGGGCTATTTCATGCAGTGGGTTGGAACCAATGAGTCCCTTCTTCCAAGCTGGATCCTGTCTCCCTTTTGATTTCTCCACTGATCAGGGTCTTTTTTTTCCCATTAGAGGAGGAATTAATGGAAGGAAGTCACTGGATCCATTGTGGCAGAAGGGACTCACTGAATCCGGTCCTGTATTTTTATTTTTATTTTAATGTACAGCTAAGGTTGGTTTATTTCAAAAGATCTAAGTGCCTAGAGAGATAACGTATGAATGAGACAAAAGCATTTGGAAGCGCATTTACAGTGCAATCCTAAAAATAATTTCCTGGGAGTAAGCTCAGTTGAATAGACCTGAGTAGGATCTAAGTAGACCTGCTTTGGATTGCTCTCTTAGCATACTAACAAAGAGTCAAGACTTAACCAAAGTTCCTGCCGAGTAGTATACTCAGTGGCCCAACCAGGTTTTATGCCACACGATTGTACGTGGGAATGGCCGTCTGAAAATATCCTATTACATTGCATGCGTCCACTAAAAAGCTGGGCAGCTGTCTAACTTTTCACCACAGATTAAGAGTTTGGCATGTTGTGGCGGGCCAGTTTCCAACTCTAGCAGTTGCCGTGAAGTTTTGCCATTGCTTTGTTCCTTGCTTGCACATGATGTCTGTCCGGTGTGGAAGAAAGAGGGTTCCATGGTCTCGTGGTGAGACACGATTGATCTTTTTTTAAATATGCATGAGTTTGAAGTGTACTCTTAAAAACCCAGTCCTGGTACATCCCTAGAAAATGTTGCTCTTCCAGTTAATTCGTTCAGCAGATTAAAATGGAAGCTGGAGCTTGAATTTTTATTTAAAACAAATGCGCATTTATTCCAGGTCCGATGTCGTTGTCCTGTGTTTTTCGATTGCGAACCCGAACTCCCTGAATCATGTGAAGACCATGTGGTGTCAAGAAATCAAGCACTTCTGCCCTCGCACACCTGTCATTCTGGTTGGCTGCCAACTGGATCTACGATACGCTGATCTGGAAGCTGTAAACCGAGCCAGAAGGCCGCTGGCCAGGTAAAAGTCAGCTCCAATTGATGTAGAATAGAAGAAGTTTTATTCCCACTGGACAATATTTCCATATGGCTCCATTTCTGCAAAGAGCACAGTGCTTTACTTAATAGAGGTACCTATAACACTGCCTTATGCGTGATCAGCCTCTGGTCTGTCTAGCCTAGTAGTGTTACCTACAGGCCTCAGGAAGACGTCTTTCCTAGCCCTGCGTCCTGAGACCCCATAACTGGAGATGTATTGTATTTTACAATTGGCCCCTCCACCAGTTTTCACACTTCATAAAACTGGACCAACAGCAAGGTAAATCCAGGCCAGTCTTTATAATCTTGCACCAGATGTCTACGCTAGCACAGTTGTCTTCATTCTTTCAGAGGATGATCTGTATGTGTGTGTGTGTGTGTGTGTGTGTGTGTGTGTGTGAGAGAGAGAGAGAGAGAGAGAGAGAGAGAGAGGAGAGAGAGAGAGAGAGAGAAGGATAAAGAGAGATTGTCACAGAAGAGTTGCATGAAAAAAGCCGTGCTGTATCAGACCAAGATTTCATCTAGTCCAGGATGCAATTCCCAGCAGTGGTCAGCCGGGCACTCCCAGGATGCCCACAACAAGGCCCGTGAGCAAAATGGCTCTCTTCTTGCTGGTGTTCAGAGAAAGATAGCAGCTTCAGAATTTGAAGGGTCCACTTCTTTGTCATGGCTGGTAAGCATTGGTAAGCTCAGGGCTATTTTTGGGCAGGAACGCACAGGAACGGAATTCCGGCTGGCTCCCAAGTTGGCCACGCCCAGCAGGAACTCATTAGCATAATAGGCCACACCCAATAGCAGAAACTCATTAGGATTGGCTACATTAGGGGTGTGTGGCCTAGCAGAATAGTTGCATGAAAAAAGCCGTGCAGATCAGATCAAGACCAAGGATGCAATTCCCAGAAGTGGTCAGCCGGGCACTCCCAGGATGCCCACAGCAAGGCCCGTGAGCAAAATGGCTCTCCTCTTGCTGGTATTCAGAGAAAGATAGCAGCTTCAGAATTTCAAGGGTCCACTTTGCTGTCATGGCTGGTAAGCACTGGTAAGCTTATCCTCCATAAACGTTTCACACTATTTAAAGCTGGCTAAAATCAACTGTCTCATCTTCCAACAACAAATCCCACAAGTTTAATTATGAGTGTGTGAATTAGTAATTCCATGATGGTTGATGCGAGGGAGTCATGGTCTTGGCTGAAGATGCTAAGGGCCACTGTAATTATTTATTTACTGCATTTGTAGCCTGCCTTTCTCATTGAGACTCAAGACGGGTTACTCGGTGTAAAAGCCAGTTTGGTGTAGTGGTTAAGTGCACGGACTCTAATCTGGGAGAACCGGGTTTGATTCCCCACTCCTCCACTTGCACCTGCTGATGTGACCTTGGGTCAGTCACAAGCTCTGGCACAGCTGTCCTTGAAAAAGAGCAGTTTGTGTCAGAGTTCTCTCAGTCCCACCCACCTCACAGGGTGTCTGTTGTGGGGAGGGGAAGGGAAAGGAGTTTGTAAGCCGCTCTGAGACTCCAAGTGAAGGGCGGGGTATAAATCCAATCTCCTCTTCTCCTTCTCCTTCTCCTTCTCCTTTCACAGCCAACTCTAAAACATGGGCTTCCTTTAGCATGCGGCATCCATCCAGTGGTGCAATAGGACTATGGTGGAAAGTGCCATCCAGTCACAGCCAACTTACAGCGACCATGTAGAATTTTCAAGGCAAGATACGTTCATGCCATTGCCTGCCTCTGCATCATAACCCTGGGCTTCCTTGGTGGTCTCCCATCTAAATACTAGCCAGGGCCAACCCTGCTTAGCTTCTGAGATTTGACGAAAGGGGGCTAGCCTGTGCTATCCAGGTTAGGGAACAATAGGACTAGGATCTAAAAAATTAGAAACAGTGCAAAAAGTATGAGACATGGTATGTCATAAACAATGTAAAAAGGAGTGGAATTACAGAAGCAGGAAGTAATGCTTTAAGAGCAAGATGTTATGTAAAATAAACAGTGACGTAGACTACCCCACAGCTTAGCGGGAACATTGAACATGGTATGTCATAAACAATGTAAAAAGGAGTGGAATTACAGAAGCAGGTAGTAATGCTTTAAGAGCAAGATGTTATGTAAAATAAACAGTGACTTAGACTACCCTTTTTAAAAGCACCCTCCTTTCGCAATGACCTGGAGGACATTGAAAATCCCGACGCTTAATGAGTTGATAACGAAGATTATGGAATGTGCTGAAATTGACGGATTGACAAATATACTAAAAGGAAAAATGGAAGAAGAATGTATGGGACCATGGAGGGCGTTTTATGACTGGTTAAAACATAAGTACTAAGAAACTAAGACTAAATGAAGAGCAATAAGAAAGATGGTTATAATAGTTGTGAAACTTTCAGGAGAAGATTTGCATGCAGAATGTTAATTTGGATTTTTATATATAATTCTGTATTCTTTCTCTTCCCTTCTTTTCCCTTTCCCTCTTTCTATATATATAAACTAATAAAACTCTATTAAAAAATAAAAGCACCCTCCTTTCTACTATAATAATAATCATGTGCCATCGAGTCACCGCCAATTCATGGTGAGCCCAGGAACATCGGGTTTTCAATGCAAGAGATAAGCAGAGGTGGCTTGGCATTGCCTTCCTCTGCATACCAACCCTAATCTTCATTGGTGGTCTCCTGTCCAGGTACTAACTCTGGCTGTTTGACAAAATTGGGCAGCCTTACTCCCTTTGTAAAAGTTTCACCAGGGAGGGCGGTTGATAAATTTAAATAAGTAAAGATGGACTCCTGCACAGTTCTGTTTTACACATATGTAGAATGGGAGGCCATGGATGGCATAGTTTTGCTGCTAAAATATTAAAATGACTTTTAACGTAGTCATGTACTGTTATTAGATTGGCCACTTGAAAAAAGATTGAACAGTGTTGGGAGGAAAGCAAAATAACAATCCAATGTTCCTGGGAAATCAGACAAAAGCAAAAGGATGCAGCCACTACTACATATTATTTATTTATTTTTCCTTTTGAAAAATTGCATCTCGCGTGGAGGATGCTGTGGGGCTAATGCTCCAGAAACATTTGTTCATATCGTGGGTTCAAATTTAGCTAAGGAGGGACCGGCGATGATTGTGGATGGAAACAAGCTAAATCTACACCTGTGCTGGACCCTTTGGAGGACAGGAATGGGGGTAAAAGTACAGGCTGGGCTTATCCCATGAGGTATCAAGAGCTGCGGTGGCTCAAGTGGTTAAGACGCTGAACTGCAGGCTGTGGAAGGTCAGTAGTTCAGCAGTTCGAGACCCGGGTGCCGCAAGATGGAGTGAGCTCCCGTCTCTAGTTCCAGCTCCTGCCAACCTAGCAGTTCGAAAGCAAGACATTGCAAGTAGATAAATAGGTACCACTTCGGTGGGAAGGTAACAGCATTCCGTGCGCCTTGGTGTTTAGTCAGGCCGGCCACATGACCACGGAAACGTCTTTGGACAGCGCTGGCTCTTCGGCTTGGAAACGGAGATGAGCACCGCAACCCTAGAGTCAGATTCGACTGGCTTTCGAGCAAGGGAACCTTTACCTTTTTTATCAAGGGCCGGCTGTGGTGGTTAGGGAGATTCTGGCCGGCATAGTATAGTGGTTAGATTGTTAGACTAGCTTATGGGAGACCTGAGTTGGAATCCCCACTCTGTGGTGTCAACTTGGGCATGCTCTCGGCCTAACTCAGGGTTATTGCGAGAATAAAATGGAGGAGTGGAGAACAACCCTGTAAACCACTTTGCGTCCCCGCTGGGGGGAAAACCTGGGGTGTAAAGAAAGTCGGAAAATAGGTGAATGGTTCTTCTTTGTGTAATTCACAGGCCTATCAAAAGGGGTGACATCTTACCACCGGAAAGAGGCAGAGAGGTTGCCAAGGAGCTTGGGATACCGTACTACGAAACCAGCGTGTTTGACCAGTTTGGCATCAAGGATGTGTTTGATAACGCGATTAGAGCCGCGTTGATCTCCAGGAGACACCTGCAGTTCTGGAAGTCGCATCTGAAGAAGGTCCAGAAACCTTTGCTTCAGGCTCCCTTTCTACCTCCAAAGGCACCGCCTCCAGTTATCAGAATCCCAGAGTGTCCCTCCACCAGTATCAATGAAGCCGGATACTTGTTGGACAATCCTTTGTGTGCAGACGTCGTATTTATCCTTCAGGAAAACACTCAGATTTTTGCGCATAAGATCTACCTAGCTACCTCCTCTTCCAAGTTTTACGACCTGTTTTTAATGGAATGTGAAGAAACCCCGGATTTCCCTGAGTCACACTGTAATAAAGAAAAGACCCACAGAAACATGTTGGCCAGAACATGTAGTCTTGAGACAGACAGTGAGGGTGAAGCAGCAACCTTAAAAACGTTGAATGCCAAACTTGTGTCTTCGGCAGAAGGTTACGACTCTTCGGCAAGGTTAGAGCTTGAAGCGGGGGAAGCCGGTTGCCTCAAACAGGGGCTGGCCTCCTGGGGCAAAGGGTTTGTTAGCATGCATAAGGAAGCGCGAGTCAACCCCGTTTCGAAGAGGCCATGCACTGTGACCATTGTCAAGATGGACGCCTCTGTTCAGCCAGGACCTTTCAAAACTGTCTTGCAGTTTCTGTACACGGGGCAGCTGGACGAAAATGAAAAAGACCTGAACAGGGTGGCTCAGATTGCTGAGATACTGGAAGTCTTTGATTTGCGGATGATGGTGGAAAACATCACTAACAAAGAAGCCTTTATGAATCAGGAAATTACCAAGGCATTCCATGTCAGGAAAGCTAATAGAATAAAGGAATGCCTCTGCAAAGGGACATTCTCTGGTGAGTTAAGTATACCTGGGCACGTCCTCATTTCCTTGTGAATTGTTCCACTGTGGTAATCCGAATAGTAACCAGAGGGAAACCAGTTTATGCCTGTAGTATAAATACACCCTCAGTGGAAATTACAAGCACATGGAGATTTGCACCAGACATTTGGTGGGTTAGTTCAAATCAGTACTAATCAGGGGTCATTTCCTGTGGGAGTGCACAGGAGCGGAGCTCCGGCAGTAAGGAGCCCAGGGGGCGGGCACATGCAACAAGCCCCGCCCCCTGCTCCCAGCAGCCCTCAGTCAGGCCATGAGGAGCAAGAAGCAGCCAGGTAAGTTGCAGAGCCCCCCCCCCCCCGGCCCGCCTTCAGGTAC